TAGTCTGTCTTCAGGAGATAATTCATTGTCTTACAGTTTTGAAGATAATGAGTTTTCTGTGTTTCATATGAAATTATCCAATTAGACCACATTGATAACATTTGAAGTAACATGTTACTCATCAATTTATAGAAAGGCACATCTGTAGTCTACATTTGATCATATGGATTCATTTATTTACCATGGGTTGAAGCATATGAACAATTGATTCAACTTTAGAACTCTTATAAAATTCCTGTAAAGTATATTAATTGATTAAGGTGTTATTTTTATGTTTCATACATTATTTATATACTTAGAAATACTAGCCAGAGATTTGAAAGATAATCTAAGATTGTTTTTTAACTGGTGTGAACTCAGTATCCAAGATAAGTTTGTCTAGGTAGTACAATAGCTGTCTTACCAGTTAGCTCACCATTTGGTCACACCCCTTTCCTGTCTTTTCACCAATTAATATTTACAAAATTAAGATCTGTTCATGTCACCTCTCTACCAAACACCTTCTGCTGTTTCTTTGTATGGGATAATACAAAGGGGATATTTTACAGGGGTAACTTTGATCTGGTTTCTGTGTATTCAGAATGTCTTGTGCTGAAACACTCACTTGCATCTTGTATATTGGCTATGAGGAATTACTAACAGTTTCTTGTCACCATTGTTTTTCTTGTCTTTAGAATTTTATTCAAAGTGTTTAATTAAACTTCTTGGATACTCTCCTCCCCAAGTTAACACATTCCTAGACATTTGTAGAGACTTACCACCTGGTTCCTAAAGTCAGAAGGTTTAGAATATGTTTCCTAAGTTCATAGAAAAATATCTGGACTATTGTTTCTTACCAGTAACATAATCAACTGGTCGCACTATACTTTATACCACCAGGAGCTGTCCGTTCAGTGAGCCTTTCAAGGAACAGTCTTTCTCTCCAATCATTATGACTACAATATCTAAAATAGAGTAAAATTATTAAATGCTTAATACTTTTCTTCTAAAGGATAGGATAAATCATGTTGCATTGTGAACCATACAACAATCACATTGCCTAGATTCTGGTCAATATAACACACATCCTTAGCTTTCTAATGGAAGATGCATGGGATAATATAGGATAAGGGGGACCCTCTGGTCATGGTGGGATACACTATGACCCTTACACACTGAATAGGCTGCCTGCTCCTGGGCATTGGGTACCATGTCTTGTCCATCCTTTCCCTATATGATAGGCTGGAAAAGGTACTAGGGGAAGAAGAGTTTAAGTTTTTGAGAGCAATAGAAACTAATGGCAATTTAGCCTCACAAAGTGCTAGAGACTAGTTTGTTTATTTTCATGTGAAACTATATAGGTAACTTGTTTGTTAAGTTATAAGCTATCAACTTCTTGCTGGAACCACTCTGATGATAGTGTATAGTATGAATGTAATTTATTCATTTTTCCCATGTCCTCTACTTGCCTGAATATGTACATCTTATCTGTAAGTGGTTATCATGGTTGTGAGGCTTTCTGACACCACCCCCTTATTTATACCCCAAAATGCATATATGGCAGTTATCTTGTCAGATTATAATAGAACTGAAAATTTCCTATCACCCAGTGATATTGTACTCATCATAATTTTGTAGCATCACTCATGTTTCTGTGATTGTACTAGAACAAACAAGCCTACTGTTCTGGCCAAGTATGTAAAGGAATAGCACAAGGGAGTAAAAGGCCTACTGTGCAAACATGAGGGTCTTAATTTGGATCCTGAACATCCATGTAAAAGTTGACGATGGCAGTGTGGATTTATTATAGACAGGTGGATTTCTGGAGCTCAGTGTACTGCCAGTCTAGTTAATTGGTGAGCTCTAGCTTCAGTGGGAGTTTCTATCTCAAAAACTTTTGTCATTGAGGAAAACACTCGACCACCTCCGGCCTCCACATACACGTGCACACGAGTTCATATATGCATGTACACACATATAAGTATATCACACCTCCAATAATATAGGACTTGCAATCATGTACAGCATATACTACCTTTTAATGATTATAAATGACTGTATTTCTAGTGTACGTATCTCATGTGTCACATTTTCATTGTTACTGTAAAACAGTATAACATATGATGTTGGCAACACCTTATAAATCTCATGTTTACTTTATTGCCTCACTCAACAGGCCATGTCAAGTGCTTGCTCTATACCATTTAGGGTTGTATTCTGTGGTGTTCATAGAATGGCTGAGTTCTTTAATGAGGCATTTTCTCAAAATATATCTTTGTTGTTAATGGATGCCTGATTGTATATACAATGAAATATTAGTCAGCCTTAAGATTAAGGGAGACTTGTGATTTGCAGCAATATGGGTGAACCCAGAGGGCATAATTCTAAGTCAGACACAGAAAAATAAGTGTTGCATGATTCACATATACGAAATCTAAAGAAAAGTCAAACTCATGAAAACAAAGTGAGTAGAATAGTGGCTACCAGTGTTTAGAGCGTAGGAAAAAAATCTATTGAACAAAGGATTAAACCCTTCTATTACCAGAAAAGTGATTACTGGAGACAATGTACAATGTGTCTGCTACAGTTAATAATTATGTGTTGTGCTTTGGAACTTGTTAAGAGGCTAATTCTCCAATGTCCCCACCACATACACACACAGAACAGGTAACTATGTGAGGTAATTGATATATTAAAGTTAGCTAGACTGTGGTGATTAATTCACATTTTACACATATATCAAAACATTGAATTGTATACTTAAAACATGCTATGTTAATTCAATATTTATTCTTCAGAAATCTGAGGAAGGGAAGACCAGCCTTGAGCCCTGGTTTCCAATCTTCCATTCATGATCTTGTCTCTTGTTAATTCTCAGAAGGTAGCTCCTGAAGATGGTTTCCCTACCCTCACCCCACAAACCCACACAGGCTAGTACTCTGATGAATGTGGAAAACCCAAATGATTTGCTTAGATAGTAGTTTTTTGCTTCTTCATAGGAGTAGTTTATATTTGTTGGGTATGGTTCATTGGAAACCATTCATTCCTAACCTTTCCAATAATCTCTGTATATCACTGCCTTTCTGTAGAAATAGCTCTTCGTAGTATCACAGATTGCAAGATATCACAGCAATGACTATTTTTATCTTTCTCTTTATTTGATTTTCTGGGCTATTTTAATGTTGATAATGCTTCTTAGTGATAGGAGTATTGCGTGGAAGACAGAATTAGGTTTAGACATCCTTTTATTTTTATTTTTTTAAATTTGAGGCAGGATATCATCCATGTATATCTTCATGACCTGGAGCTCTGCAATATAGTCCAGACTCGCCTTGAACACACTATTTCTGCTTCTGCCTTCAAAGCACTGGAAATACAGGCAAACATCACTAAACCTACCACAAAGAAATCTTCAGATAAATTTATGTTTTATTTTCTTGTGCTGGGGAGTAAATTCAGGATTTATACATGTTAGAAACTACTACTGAGCCACCTGTTTCCAGGTTTCAAATCTTATATCTACCACATATTTATTACTTAACTATGGACAGACCTTTAATGGTATATTTTCTCAATATTTTATTCTTCATCACCTTATTTTTTAACTCATCCCTAAAACTTTGCCCCAAATGACAAACTTATTGAATGTTCATCATGTGCAGGCCCAATTCCAAGTGCTTCCATGTACCTACGCAGTCTTTGTGACCCTGCCAACTTTGTTATGTGCACTAGTCAACTGAGAAGAGGGATAAGTGTGTCATAAGGAAATAAGAGGACGGATAAAAACTTATGTGTCTACTGAGACTTGTTGTATCCTTTTGGGTAAACTGATTTTCTGTTAGCTGGCCAAAGGATACTCTGGTAAGTCTGTCCTTTGCTTGGGCAGAAATACAAAAGAAAGCAATTTCAGTTGGCTGTGTCTGTCAGAAAATTTAGTTTATTTTTTATAGAGAAAACATATCTATCTGTTTGTATTATATTGTCTGTCAGTGCGTTTACCTTGGTCAATCCAGGTCTGTACTGTTAACTCATAGTGTTTTACTCCTAACCCTCTATGTGGGCCTAACTAAATGTATAGAAGGGCTGTCTGAAGGAGCGGAATAAACCATGTTTGTCTGCAGCGGCATTGCTAAGTTGTCAGGTCTGGCAACTTAAGGAATATGCAGTTTTATAGTTTTAATGGGGGCTTGTGGAAGGCAATAGAAACATGAAGCAAAGCTAATTAGAACAATGAGCTTGCTTACTGCCTTTGATTCAATACCTGCCTCCATTGAAGAGCATTTAAATTTTGACGGTCTCACTTCAGCTTGATTTATTTCAGTAAAGGTTAAGAAAGGTAGTTTTTAAATGTGTTCTTTTTATAAACCACCAAACTCAGAAGTTGGAGACTAGATATCTACTTATTTACCTTGAAAGAAGTTACTTGTGTGATACACTCATCTGTAAATTGTGAACGTGTGTCTATGGATCTCCCCTGTTCGATAGTTGGGTAAAGGTACAGCTCTGATGGAAAGACATCCCTTTAATGAAAGAACTTTGTGCACATGTTACTTAATTCTTTTTTCTCCCCTGACCCATTTCCAAACAATAAATGTGGCTGTGCTCCTGCCAGGACAGAGAGCCTTTGTTCCCCTCCTTCCCTCTGGAAATATACACCAGGACTGTGTCCCTGCTCCCATTGGTTGTCACTAGACATTAAGTACCATGTTCTTTGGAAGGAAGAAATTTTTTCTCTCTCAAAAGATTCCAAATCTTGATCTTGGTTTGACATAGATAAATACTACATGGATAAATGATTTCCTATTGATAACAAGGCTACATTCATAATAACGTTACCATGATTACTTTGGAGAAACATATGGGTATATGTCTAATTTAGGGGATCATGGCAAAACAGATATTTTTATATGGTTATACAGTTTTTCTACAGAGTATGAAAGATACAGTTCTGATGTACAGAAGGAAACCTTTGAATAAATGAAGAAAAGAATAAAAGAGCAAAACCGTATTAGATGGCCAATTGTTTATTTTCAATTATCATACAGTTTACTGTGTTGAATTGAATGTGTCCAATTTGATTTAAATGATTGCTTATGAAAGGTCACATCTTGTAGAATCCAAATCCAACTCTGATTGCAGGCAGAGAATTAGGGGCTACAAATACTGGTCTTGGATTTTGGGCTTTTTAAAAATTTTTTAGCAAAAATGATAACCAGTATTCAGAGGTTAAAACTAACACATTTCAAGGTGAATAATTAATCTTAAATCAAAGTTCCCACGCCAACCAAAAATTCTCTGTCTCGAGAAAATTTCTAGGTAATAAATCCTGAAGTATATTTCAAAAATATTCAAAAAGAGAAAGGAACTCACACCAAGATGAAGAAATAACTAGAATTTAACATCAAAAACCCCAAACCAAGACAAACAAATCAGCAAAAATAGGGGAAAAAAGGAAATCACCACCACCAAACATAAAAGAAAAGGCCTACATTAAAGGTTGATGTGATTTGACTTTAGGTTTAGCGTTGCTGTTTCCAATTCGCGTGCAGTTCATTAATAGTAATAATATCTCTGTGACACACTGAACCCCAGTTGTTTGGAAGCATCACTTGAATTCTCTCCTACATGGTCTTCTATGGATGCCCGCTGGATTCCCGAACTGGACACATTGTTCTTCCCATGGGCAGACGACCCCTGCCTGTGCCCGACTTCGGCTTCTGAGTGCTTCTCGCTGTCACTGGCCTGACTGGCGCTGTCTTCCTGGTGTCTGCCCCTCCTGGATGTGCCTTGTCTGTGACCAGCTGGGGACTCCTGTCTTCCTCTGGGACTGGTTCTTGAGCTTCCCCTCGAAGAGTCAGCATGTTGATGGGAGGACTCGCTTCTCTGATGGGAGCCTGACTGCCCGGTGCTGTCTCGGGATTGTTTGCTGCCCGATGTCTGCCTGCTTGCTGTGCCTCTGTGGCCTGTCTGACCATGGGAGGAGTCTGTGTCGGAGTGGGAGCCCACCTGGCCTTGTCTCGATCCAGAGCGTCCAGAGCCGACGTGGTGGTCTTCCTGGCCCCTTCTGGACTGGCGGTGCTCAGAGCTGTCCCTCACGGACTCCCTGTGGGACCCCTGTCCCTCTCTAGCACTGCTTTGGACCCTTCCTTGGGAGGACCCAGCCTGGCGTCCAGAGGAACTGTGTCCTTGGTGAGAGCCCTGAATCCTGGCGCTGTCCCTTCCTTGTTCTCGGCGGGTCCCCTGAGAAGCCCTGCCACTGGACCGCGGCTGGTCTCTGTGTCCAGACTCTTCGTGCTCGTGCTCGTGGTGGTGCTCCTGCTCGTTTTTGTGCTCATGTTCGTGCTCATAGTAGTTCATGTGATAGGCTCCAGAGCCGTGCTGGCCTCGAGGGGATGACTGTTGCTCGTGCCTCTCGCTGACCCTGGAGTGACCGTGGGCTCCCCCTGCCTGGCCCTCTGAGACATCGGAGTGGCCTTCGCTGTCGCTTGCCTGACTGTCGTTGGACTCATGGTGCCTCCGGTCAGTGGATGTGGCGTGGCTTTGTGTGCGGCCAGCTCCGGAGTGCCCGGAGTGGTCAGCCGACTCTCTATGACCAACTTTGCCATGTGCTTCCCTGGTGCGCGAGCCTGATTCGGACTGTCCTCGTCCCTGGCCAGATGCCTGGCCCCGACCGGACCCTGGGCGGCTGGCGCTATCCCTTCCTTGTTCTCGGTGGGTGCCCTCAGCAGCCCTACCACTGGACTGCTTCTTGTCTCTGTGTCCAGACGCGTCGTGCTCGTGCTCGTGCTCATGCTCGTGGTGGTGCTCGTGCTCATTTTTTTGCTCGTGCTCGTGCTCGTTCCCGTAGTAGTTCATGTGGTAGGCTCCAGAGCCGTGCTGGCCTCGAGGGGACGTCTGTTCCTGGTGTCTCTTGCTGACCCTGGAGTGACCGTGGGCTCCCACTGCCTGGCCCTCTGAGACATCGGAGTGGCCTTCGCTGTCGCTTGCCTGACTGTCGCTGGACTCATGGTGCCTCCGGTCTGTGGATGTAGCGTGGCCTTTTGTGCGGCCAGCTCCGGAGTGACCGGAGCCGTCAGCCGACTGTCCATGACCAACGTTCCCATGTGCTTCCCTTGTGTGGCGGCGTCCTGACTCAGACTGTCCTCGCCCCTGGCCAGATGCCTGGCCCTGACGGGCTCCTGCACGCCTGGCGCTGTCACCTTCCTGGCCCTGGCCGCTGGATGCCCGCTGGGCTCCTGAGCTGGATCTGGCGTTCCTCCCGTGGGCAGACGACCCCTGCCTGTGTCCGACTTCAATATCTGAGTGCCTCTCGCTGTCACTGGCCTGACTGGGGCTGTCTTCCTGGTGTCTGCCTCTGCTGGATGTGGCTTGTCTATGGCCGGCTGGGGACTCCTGTCTTCCTCTGGGACTTGTTCTTGAGCTGCCCCTCGAAGAGTCAGCATGTTGGTGGGAGGACTCGCTTCTCTGATGGGAGCCTGACTGCCCGGTGCTGTCTCGGGATTGTTTGCTGCCCGATGTCTGCCTGCTTGCTGTGCCTCTGTGGCCTGTCTGACCATGGGAGGAGTCTGCGGTAGAGTGGGAGCCCACCTGGCCTTGTCTCGATCCAGAACGTCCAGAGCCGACGTGGTGGTCTTCCTGGCCCCTTCTGGACTGACGGTGCTCAGAGCTGTCCCTCACGGACTCCCTGTGGGACCCCTGTCCCTCTCTAGCACTGCTTTGGACCCTTCCTTGGGATGACCCAGCCTGGCGTCCAGAGGAACTGTGTCCTTGGTGAGAGCCCTGAATCCTGGCGCTGTCCCTTCCTTGTTCTCGGCGGGTCCCCTGAGAAGCCCTGCCACTGGACCGCGGCTGGTCTCTGTGTCCAGACTCTTCGTGCTCGTGCTCGTGGTGGTGCTCCTGCTCGTTTTTGTGCTCATGTTCGTGCTCATAGTAGTTCATGTGATAGGCTCCAGAGCCGTGCTGGCCTCGAGGGGATGACTGTTGCTCGTGCCTCTCGCTGACCCTGGAGTGACCGTGGGCTCCCCCTGCCTGGCCCTCTGAGACATCGGAGTGGCCTTCGCTGTCGCTTGCCTGACTGTCGTTGGACTCATGGTGCCTCCGGTCAGTGGATGTGGCGTGGCTTTGTGTGCGGCCAGCTCCGGAGTGCCCGGAGTGGTCAGCCGACTCTCTATGACCAACTTTGCCATGTGCTTCCCTGGTGCGCGAGCCTGATTCGGACTGTCCTCGTCCCTGGCCAGATGCCTGGCCCCGACCGGACCCTGGGCGGCTGGCGCTATCCCTTCCTTGTTCTCGGTGGGTGCCCTCAGCAGCCCTACCACTGGACTGCTTCTTGTCTCTGTGTCCAGACGCGTCGTGCTCGTGCTCGTGCTCATGCTCGTGGTGGTGCTCGTGCTCATTTTTTGCTCGTGCTCGTGCTCGTTCCCGTAGTAGTTCATGTGGTAGGCTCCAGAGCCGTGCTGGCCTCGAGGGGACGTCTGTTCCTGGTGTCTCTTGCTGACCCTGGAGTGACCGTGGGCTCCCACTGCCTGGCCCTCTGAGACATCGGAGTGGCCTTCGCTGTCGCTTGCCTGACTGTCGCTGGACTCATGGTGCCTCCGGTCTGTGGATGTAGCGTGGCCTTTTGTGCGGCCAGCTCCGGAGTGACCGGAGCGGTCAGCCGACTGTCCATGACCAACGTTCCCATGTGCTTCCCTTGTGTGGCGGCGTCCTGACTCAGACTGTCCTCGCCCCTGGCCAGATGCCTGGCCCTGACGGGCTCCTGCACGCCTGGCGCTGTCACCTTCCTGGCCCTGGCCGCTGGATGCCCGCTGGGCTCCTGGGCTGGATCTGGCGTTCCTCCCGTGGGCAGACGACCCCTGCCTGTGTCCGACTTCAATATCTGAGTGCCTCTCGCTGTCACTGGCCTGACTGGGGCTGTCTTCCTGGTGTCTGCCTCTGCTGGATGTGGCTTGTCTGTGGCCGGCTGGGGACTCCTGTCTTCCTCTGGGACTGGTTCTTGAGCTGCCCCTCGAAGAGTCAGCATGTTGGTGGGAGGACTCGCTTCTCTGATGGGAGCCTGACTGCCCGGTGCTGTCTCGGGATTGTTTGCTGCCCGATGTCTGCCTGCTTGCTGTGCCTCTGTGGCCTGTCTGACCATGGGAGGAGTCTGCGGTAGAGTGGGAGCCCACCTGGCCTTGTCTCGATCCAGAACGTCCAGAGCCGACGTGGTGGTCTTCCTGGCCCCTTCTGGACTGACGGTGCTCAGAGCTGTCCCTCACGGACTCCCTGTGGGACCCCTGTCCCTCTCTAGCACTGCTTTGGACCCTTCCTTGGGAGGACCCAGCCTGGCGTCCAGAGGAACTGTGTCCTTGGTGAGAGCCCTGAATCCTGGCGCTGTCCCTTCCTTGTTCTCGGCGGGTCCCCTGAGAAGCCCTGCCACTGGACCGCGGCTGGTCTCTGTGTCCAGACTCTTCGTGCTCGTGCTCGTGGTGGTGCTCCTGCTCGTTTTTGTGCTCATGTTCGTGCTCATAGTAGTTCATGTGATAGGCTCCAGAGCCGGGCTGGCCTCGAGGGGATGCCTGTTGCTCGTGCCTCTCGCTGACCCTGGAGTGACCGTGGGCTCCCCCTGCCTGGCCCTCTGAGACATCGGAGTGGCCTTCGCTGTCGCTTGCCTGACTGTCGTTGGACTCATGGTGCCTCCGGTCAGTGGATGTGGCGTGGCTTTGTGTGCGGCCAGCTCCGGAGTGACCGGAGCGGTCAGCCGACTGTTCACGACCAACGTTTCCTTGCGCTTCCCTGGTGCGCGAGCCTGATTCGGGCCTTTCTCTTCCGTGGCCAGATGCCTGGCCCTGACCGGACCCTGGGCGCCTGGCGCTGTCCCTTCCTTGTTCTCGGTGGGTGCCCTCAGCAGCCCTACCACTGGACCTCTGCTGCTGGTGTCTGTGTCCAGACGCGTCGTGCTCGTGCTCGTGCTCATGCTCGTGGTGGTGCTCGTGCTCATTTTTGTGCTCATGCTCGTGCTCGTAGTAGTACATGTGGCAGGCTCCCGAGCCGTGCTGGCCTCGAGGGGATGACTGTTCCTCGTGTCTCTTGTTGACCCTGGAGCGACCGTGGGCTCCCACTGCCTGGCCCTCTGAGACATTGGAGTGGCCTTCGCTGTCGCTTGCCTGACTGTTGCTGGACTCATGGTGCCTCCGGTCAGTGGATGTGGCGTGGCCTCGTGTGCGGCCAGCTCCGGAGTGACCGGAGCGGTCAGCCGACTGTCCACGACCAACGTTTCCTTGTGCTTCCCTGGTGCCGTGTCCTGATTCGGGCCTTTCTCGTCCGTGGCCAGATGCCTGGCCCTGACCGGACCCTGGGCGCCTGGCGCTGTCCCTTCCTTGTTCTCGGTGGGTGCCCTCAGCAGCCCTGCCACTGGACCTCTGCTGCTGGTGTCTGTGTCCAGATTGGTCGTGCTCGTGCTCGTGCTCGTGCTCGTTCCCATAGTAGTACATGTGGTAGGCTCCAGAGCCCTGCTGGCCTCGAGGGGACGTGTGTTGCTCGTGCCTCTCGCTGACCCCGGAGCGACCGTGGGCTCCCACTGCCTGGCCCTCTGAGACATCGGAGTGGCCTTCGCTGTCGCTTGCCTGACTGTCGCTGGACTCATGGTGCCTCCGGTCAGTGGATGTGGCGTGGCCTTGTGTGCGGCCAGCTCCGGAGTGACCGGAGCGGTCAGCCGACTGTCCACGACCGACGTTCCCATGCACTTCCCTGGTGCGGGATCCTGATTCGGATCGTCCTCGCCCCTGGCCAGATACCTGGCCCTGACTGGCTCCTGCACGCCTGGCGCTGTCACCTTCCTGGCCCTGGCCGCTGGATGCCCGCTGGGCTCCTGAGCTGGAACTGGCGTTCCTCCCGTGGGCAGACGACCCCTGCCTGTGTCCGACTTCAACATCTGAGTGCCTCTCGCTGTCACTGGCCTGACTGGCGCTGTCTTCCTGGTGTCTGCCTCTGCTGGATGTGGCTTGTCTGTGACCAGCTGGGGACTCCTGTCTTCCTCTGGGACTGGTTCTTGAGCTGCCCCTCGAAGAGTCAGCATGTTGGTGGGAGGACTCGCTTCTCTGATGGGAGCCTGACTGCCCGGTGCTGTCTCGGGATTGTTTGCTGCCCGATGTCTGCCTGCTTGCTGTGCCTCTGTGGCCTGTCTGACCATGGGAGGAGTCTGCGGTAGAGTGGGAGCCCACCTGGCCTTGTCTCGATCCAGAACGTCCAGAGCCAAAGTGGTGGTCTTCCTGGCCCCTTCTGGACTGGCGGTGCTCAGAGCTGTCCCTCACGGACTCCCTGTGGGACCCCTGTCCCTCTCTAGCATTGGTTTCGACCCTTCCTTGGGAGGACCCAGCCTGGCGTCCAGGGGAACTGTGTCCTTGGTGAGAGCCCTGAATCCTGGCGCTGTCCCTTCCTTGTTCTCGGCGGGTCCCCTGAGAAGCCCTGCCACTGGACCGCGGCTGGTCTCTGTGTCCAGACTCTTCGTGCTCGTGGTGGTGCTCCTGCTCGTTTTTGTGCTCATGTTCATGCTCATAGTAGTTCATGTGATAAGCTCCAGAGCCGTGCTGGCCTCGAGGGGATGCCTGTTGCTCGTGCCTCTCGCTGACCCTGGAGTGACCGTGGTCTCCCACTGCCTGGCCCTCTGAGACATCGGAGTGGCCTTCGCTGTCGCTTGCCTGACTCTCGCTGGACTCATGGTGCCTCCGGTCAGTGGATGTGGCGTGGCCTTGTGTGCGGCCCGCTCCGGAGTGCCCGGAGCGGTCAGGTGACTGTCCACGACCAACGTTTCCATGTGCTTCCCTGGTGCCGTGTCCTGATTCGGGCCTTTCTCGTCCGTGGCCAGATGCCTGGCCCTGACTGGACCCTGGGCGCCTGGCGCTGTCCCTTCCTTGTTCTCGGTGGGTGCCCTCAGCAGCCCTACCACTGGACCGCTGCTTGTCTCTGTGTCCAGACGCGTCGTGCTCGTGCTCGTGCTCATGCTCGTGGTGGTGCTCGTGCTCATTTTTGTGCTCGTGCTCGTGCTCGTTCCCGTAGTAGTACATGTGGTAGGCTCCAGAGCCGGGCTGGCCTCGAGGGGACGTCTGTTCCTCGTGTCTCTTGCTGACCCCGGAGCGACCGTGGGCTCCCACTGCCTGGCCCTCTGAGACATCGGAGTGGCCTTCGCTGTCGCTTGCCTGACTCTCGCTGGACTCATGGTGCCTCCGGTCAGTGGATGTGGCGTGGCCTTGTGTGCGGCCCGCTCCGGAGTGCCCGGAGCGGTCAGGTGACTGTCCACGACCAACGTTTCCATGTGCTTCCCTGGTGCCGTGTCCTGATTCGGGCCTTTCTCGTCCGTGGCCAGATGCCTGGCCCTGACTGGACCCTGGTCGCCTGGCGCTGTCCCTTCCTTGTTCTCGGTGGGTGCCCTCAGCAGCCCTACCACTGGACCGCTGCTTGTCTCTGTGTCCAGACGCGTCGTGCTCGTGCTCGTGCTCATGCTCGTGGTGGTGCTCGTGCTCATTTTTGTGCTCGTGCTCGTGCTCGTTCCCGTAGTAGTACATGTGGTAGGCTCCAGAGCCGGGCTGGCCTCGAGGGGACGTCTGTTCCTCGTGTCTCTTGCTGACCCCGGAGCGACCGTGGGCTCCCACTGCCTGGCCCTCTGAGACATCGGAGTGGCCTTCGCTGTCGCTTGCCTGACTGTCGCTGGACTCATGGTGCCTCCGGTCAGTGGATGTGGCGTGGCCTTGTGTGCGGCCAGCTCCGGAGTGCCCGGAGCGGTCAGCCGACTGTCCATGACCAACGTTCCCCTGTGCTTCCCTTGTGTGGCTTCTTGCCTCAGACCGTCCTCGCCCTTGGCCAGATGCCTGGCCCTGATGGGTTCCTACACGCCTGGCGCTGTCACCTTCCTGGCCCTGGCCGCTGGATGCCCGCTGGGCTCCTGAGCTGGAACTGGCGTTCCTCCCGTGGGCAGACGACCCCTGCCTGTGTCCGACTTCAACATCTGAGTGCCTCTCGCTGTCACTGGCCTGACTGGCGCTCTCTTCCTGGTGTCTGCCTCTGCTGGATGTGGCTTGTCTGTGGCCGGCTGGGGACTGCTGTCTTCCTCTGGGACTTGTTCTTGAGCTGCCCTTTGGAGAGACAGCATGTCGCTGGGAGGACTCGCTTCTCTCATGAGAGCCTGCCTGCCTTGTGCTGTCTGGGGACTGTTGCCTGCCGGAATGTTTGCTGCTATGTCTCCTTCCTTGCTCTTCTTGTTCTTTGTTATGCTGTTCTTCATAGTAATAATTTGTGCAGGTTTTCCCCCAACCTTCATGATATTTTATATTTTCCTGCTTCACTGTGTCGTATTCTGCATTTCTTCTTTCTTTTGACCTTCTGTGTGTCTTACCTCTAATTTCTCTTCTTTCAGAGGAATTAGTATCTCCCCGATGTTTTCTGGTTGAATTGTGCCTTTTCCCATGCTTTTCCTTTCCTCTGTGTGTATTTGTGTCTGTTTCCTGGTTGCTACTGCTTGATCCATGTCTTTTTTTCCCTCTTCCTCTCGGGCTACTATATCTTTCATTCTCTTCATTTCCTTCAGTTTTTCCATGACTTGATTTGTGTATTCTCTCTTCTTCATCTTCTCCTACTTCTCTATAATGCCTTTTGCTTCTCTTTGATCCACTTGAGAACCTTTTCTTTTGAGATGACTCATAGTATGCTTTAGCCAACTTCAACACCATCAGCAAATACTCAGTGAAGTCTATTTTCTCATTATGGTCTGCATCTAGGATTTCCATGAAGACATCTGCAATATCTTCATCATCTGGGTTCTGTAAGAATTGCAGACTGTTGCTCATACCATGTAATTTCAACTTTACAATTCAAATGCAACATAAACATATGTCTTGGAACAACAGTTGTGCCAAATTATTTAGATTTCTTCATTTGTAATACGTTTATATATTTCCATTCTCATCTAACATATTTTGGTAATACATGAATTAATGTTCAAAGGTAGCTAGAAATCATGACTTGTTTCCTGTGGTCAATTACTCTTTCTGTCATGTCATGCATCTGAAATTTATTCATTTCCTCATTTAATTTACTTCTTAGTGTACCCCACTAACTCTCTTGATGTTGGTGAAAATGCTGTAAAATGTTAAGCTTCTTTGAGATTTTTTTTGTGATTAAATATTGATAGTATTTATTTTCCACATATGGTGCCTCTACATGAATAACATGATGGTACACATTTAAAGAGAGCTAAGTACATTTTATCTCTTCCCAGTCATGGGTACTTTATTTACAAATAAAACAGTTAAATAGTATTTTCTACAGTCTCAGGTTAAATCACTGACAAGGAACAGAAAGTCTGCTCTCCTTGTTTGTTTGTGTCTGTTTCCTACCTTCAAGACTGCCCGCAACTCCACTTCCAGAAGTTCCTTCAGCTCTTTTTTGCTTAGTGTGTCTGTTTCTTTGTCATTGTTTGAGTACTGCCGGAATACTTCAATCATGCTAATGATGTTTTCCAGAAGAGTGGACATCGTTCAGCAGTATATATGCACCTATAAAAGTGAAACAGAATTCATTTTTACTTTTATTTTGTAGGTTGTATCTACTATTGTAACAATTATGTATATTTTATGTATATTTTAAATCTAGGGGTTTCTTTAAGTAGTACATTTTTAAAGTGAAACTTGATCATGACCAACTTCTCTCTACCATCTACAAAGTATAATGTTGAGTAACTTTGGTAACTGACATTTCCTATTTTGGGGCTTTAGATCCAATCACCATAGTAGATTCTTAAAGTCTTAGACCTCAGTGTGTTCTATGCAACATAGTCCCTCTTGGTGAACTGGCCATTCTTCCTGGCAGGGTTATAAAAACCTCAGATGCTTATCTCCATTATGGCTACTATTGGCCATAAAATAGTAGGCATATCAATAAACAAAATAAGTATTGACTATATAAAAGCATTATAATGATGACTTTTAGATTTACGTAACAGGCAAAACCAAAATATTATAGGTAACATAAATTTGTCACATATGGTTATAGTAACCTGACCTAAAGCATTATAAACCTTGAAGTTTTGACAAAATGAAATGTGTTTGCTGATTTTTGTTGTGATTTATTTAAATATATAGTTTAGCAAGTTTATTTTTATCCCTCAAAAGACTTGGATTTAAGACTTCTGAATCATTAAAAATGAAGGGGAAACAAAATCCCTGATTCATGCAAGTTAATATGAGAAATATGGGCAATGTAGAATGATCTTATAAATAGTGAACATTGCTGCATTTTACTTTAAATTTGATAGAATAATGATTTTTGTCAGAAAATGATCAAATTGTTTGTTTACTAAAATGTTATCTTGTACAATAGTTTTATTTGATTGTTTTAGATTGACATCTCTTTTGAGAACAGTGATAGCCTGTGTGTATATCTGTGTGTGTGTGTGTTGTTGTTGTTACTGCAAAACCATAAAGATCATGATAGTTTACTATGGTTTATATTCAAAATGGAAAAGAACTCATCATGAGGCAGATGGTATAATGGAAAAAAATCAAAGCGTAATCCTATTTTGGTAATACTAATATCTTCCAGCATTCATATAATAAGTTAAATTATTTAACCTAACAAAGCAGATTGGATTTATTAACTATGCCTAGTGGGTTTTTACACTTTAAATGAATGTAGTTTTTCTTTAAAGAGAGGACAAAAAGTTAATAACTTAGGCTTACTTTTCAAGAAGTTTGAATTAGAACAAGAAATTAACAGATAGTATAATGAAGAAAATAATAAAGGTAACTGACAATATCGACATAGCAAACTTAGAGAAGCAGCTAAAGAATCTAATAAAGTCAATAACCCCACAAAATTAACCAGGAAGGGAGGTGCAGCGGGAGCACAGTGCGGAAAGTCTGTGTTCAAATCAGTTTGGAGTGTAGGTGAAGCAGACATTTCTAGAATACATGTCTTACCTAAATGGATCAAGTCATAGATAAAAAGTGTAAATAGACCCCTATTTATTAAGGGAATTACATCTTAAATGAATATAGGTTCCAGTTGGAGAGAAGCTGTTAGTCAAATGACTTTAGTGGTGAATTCTATTAAAGGTCTAGGAAAGAGATCATACTAACATCACAGAGATTTTTCTAGAGAATGAAAAAGAAAAACACCTGTTCTTGAATCTAGTACAACCTCATTAAACAAAAATTTGGGATTATTTCTTAAATACACATGCAAAAATGTGAATGAAAAATGGTAAACAGACCCCATTGTTGGACAAATAAGAATATACGAGCTAATATCAGATATAAGCAAGATTTATCCCCAAATTCATTTGCTTTAACATAAAAAAACCAATTATTTAAGTTTAGAAAGTAGAACAATTGGGGACTCCTGAATAGACTAGGCTAGCTAACCATTGAGCCCAGGATTGATCTGCTTTTGTCTGCCTCCCAGCATTGACTACAAGCATGTGCCTCTCTGCCAGGGTACATTTTACATAATGTCTGGGGTTGAACTCAGGACCTCATGCTTGCATGGGAAATAGTTTACTGACTGAGCCACCTCCTGAACCAAGGATAGATAGCCTATTCAGTAAATTGTTCTGAGCTAATTAGATTACAGTGTGGGGAAAATGTTTGTCAGTAGATTCAACAATAAGAAAGATTATATTGGAGAATATATTTAAGCCTTTGGGATAGAAAATGCTTCTTAAGTTGAACTCATGAATGCTAATAAATGTTAGTCCTTGAGAGGCTTAAGCAGGAGAATCACAAGTTTGAGGCCAGCCTAGGCTACACCAAAAGTTTCAGGCCATTGGGCTACATAGTGAGACCTTCTCTCAATAAACAGAATATTCTAATCATAATGAAGATTAAATAATTAGACTGCATTGATGATAGAAATCTGTTCATTTCTGATACCATTAAAACCAGAATGGGAGTATATATGTACAACACATGTAACCAATAAAATACTCTGTCCTTAATATAAAAATAACATCTAAAATGAAGACAATTCAACATAAAAGTGAGTCTCCCCAGATGCACTTTATAGAAAATATCAAGTTGCTAATAAATGCACCATAAATATTCAGTCTCACTAATTACTAGGAAGAAACAAATTTCAATGATAGTGTGAGGATGCAATATAAACACAAATGACTAATATAAAGGTCAAAGAAACCTGATAACACCAAATATTGATGAAGACATGGAGAACTGAAGTCTTTCATACTGCTAGAGGGTGCTTAAACTGACAGAGCTCCTTTGGAATATTATTTGGTAGTATCTAAGACACAGAAGTTTACTTCTAGAATATTCTTTCCTAACAGAAGCACACACACACATACTAGAGAGGGGGGGCAAAATTACTACACAGAAATACTATAGCTCCAGTATTTAAAATCTTTATAAAAAGCATTCATCAATAGAAAAATAGGCAAGCTTGTTGTGGTATTTTCTTAATAAGAGGTAGGACCCAAGTGTACACTGAGAATGATCATGGTATATTGACAGACAAAGGTAAATAGATTTGAAATACTATGTATGCAGCATTTACTAGGTGTACTGATGAATCAGTATGGGCTGAAGGTAAGAATCATGGAATATGATTCTACAACATTGATTCTATAATAATGATTATTATTTTATAGTATCATTGTATAATCATGGAATAATGATTATGAATTAGATTAGGTTTTGGCTTTAAGCAGAAGTGTTGATTTATATCATTCTCATCTCATAAATTTTAAGCTTTATATGTGTTTGAGATAAAAGGTATGATAATTTTCCTGATTATATGTCATACAGATGTATATGCACTTTATATCCCTTTATTTTGTACAATTCTGTATCATCAGAAATTTTTATACATTTATCAGAAAGAAAAGAAAAAAGAACAAAGGAAAGATAATTTTCCAGAGAGATATTCCCTAGCCATCTACTCTGCAATACTCCTGTCCTTCCATTATACTGCTATGTGACTCTCCATTTTCTTCATCATTCTTGTCATTAGTAGACATAATTGTTTATTGTTTACTCAGTATCTTTCACAACTAAGTAAAATTTTAAAGTATGGAACTTATATAGCTCTCTGTTGTAAGATCAGTGACAATGGCAGCAGCACTGGGCAGAGAAGAGCCTGAATGAAAACATGGACAAACCAATAGTGCAAAGAGAGCATCAACTAGTCTCATGGAAATAAAATTCATTCATATATATATATGAATCACATACATAACTTTAATTACAGTGACAATAGAGGTAAATGAGAAACTCTAAATATCTAGAGTTTTGCCTAAAGATGCATATTTATACAGGTGTCCACTTGTCTTAACATTAATCTGGCAAAGATAAATGTATTCCTCCTTACCTTGTTTGGAAGAAGAGTAAATAGAATGCAGCTGAAGGAGCTTGCTGGGTACTGCAGTCTGAGTGAATGGCCTTTTTATACAGTAAGTCCATCCAGGGAGGAGCCACCCTCTGTGGGATGGTCTGATTCATTCTTAACCAAACCCAGACCCACCCATTTCTCCACCACTATTTCTCCAATGACATGTGTTTACTTCCCAACTCCTCACGTACTCGTGTGTACTTGTTTTAGCAAGCCCCAAATTTAGATTTACATAAATCCTGTGGTATTGGTGATTTTCCCAAAAGGGTCTTTACTAAAAGTTCATGTATGCAGGCCCATACCTATGTTTTCGTTGCTTCAGATTTGACCTGTTAAGTGTCAATGGATCCTTCCTTGTTTCTAGAAAAGTTGATATATATATATATATATATATATATATATATATATATTTCATCACAGTACCTACCTTCATGTCTCTTTTAACCATGAATGTCATCTCTAGCTAATAAGAGAACTTGCTATGAGATGAATATTGATCTATAATAAACGGAGAGAAGATAGTCACATTAATTTTGGTTTTTCAAAATGGGGTAAGAATGTAAGCTCTTAAGTTAGAAGTTGTGATCACAGGAATACAAGTCTATTGCTCAAAATGCATTTGTCTGCCATGTTTTTAAGGCTATTGTACTGAGGCACCCTTCCATGTAACCCACAAGTGGAGCTTGGTACCAGTCATGGATGAGTATGTGGGGATGATGAGGTAAACTGTTATTCCTGAAAACACACAGGACACTACTACCCTAGATCTCTCTTTTGGTTTCTACACTGGTGAGCGAAACCAGCTGTACTTCCATTTAGATGTCTCCTCTACACCCCAGTCCATATTGTTTAAAATCAAACTCTTTATTGTATCCCCTACCCAAGTGCCCTGTCTTCCAGAAGTCTGCACATTGGTTATTTTGCTTTTCCTATCTCCCATGTTTATGCCACATGATATGTATTCTCTTTAGACTTATACTTTTTATGCAAGCCTATCTGCATCTATATCTCCTATGTGATAGTTTTGGTTCTGGACTGTAACATCTGTCAATTGGTTATTTGTAATAAATATCACACTGATTCATCTTTCAGCTTGTAATGCCATTGTGTGCACTGGCTCTTTGCCTGAAGAATT